TTTGGCCTCAGGCCTGGCTGAAGAGTGTGTGTCCAGGCCTCCAGCCCATCAGTTTGGAGGCCTGGAGGCTGCTGAGATCTAATGCACGTCTCCACACAGGTGTGACCTTCCCCTCTGGAGAGGCCCAGGAGCAGCTCCTCCACTCCCTGTACAAGATGGCTGGGGTGGCCCCCGAGTCCCTCGAGTACATTGAGGCCCATGGCACAGGCACCAAGGTGAGGGCCCCACCGAGCCCCACCCCCACTGCGGGCCCCCTGGCCGCAACCTTGACTCTCTGTGTCCCCACAGGTGGGAGACCCCCAGGAGCTGAATGGAATCGTCCGAGCCTTGTGCACCTCCCGCCAGGAGCCGTTGCTGATTGGGTCCACCAAGTCCAACATGGGACACCCTGAGCCTGCCTCTGGGCTTGCAGCCCTGGCCAAGGTCAGTGGCCTGCATGCTTGTCCATCCCCACTTCTTGACCAATCAGCAGAGTCCTGGGGCACCTTAAGGCTGGCCCCTCGGTGGAGAGCAGGCATGCCAGCCTGGAGGACCACGGTCCCTGGGCTCCAGCCTATCAGGCTGGGAGACAGCAGGGGCTCCAGAGAGGACACTGAGGGTCTTGTACCCTGTATTGCAGCACATGCGGCCACATGGAAGCCCCTGGACCCCTGTACAGAGGCAGGCCTGAGTCCATGAGTAGATAACCTGCATTTTTAAAAAATTTGGTACAGAGGATTGAACAAACCAGGGGTTGTGGATTCAAAGCCAGCCTTAGCAATTTAGTGAGGCTATAAGCAACTTAGCAAGACCTTGTCTCTAAGTAAAATGCAAAAAAAAAAGGACTGCGATCTGGGTGTGGTGGCCCTGGGTTCAATCCCTAGTACCTCCCACCCCCAAAATGTGAACCCAGGGGCACTTGACCTCTGAGGCATACCCAGCCCTTTTTTTTTTTTTTTTTTTTAATTTTTTAAATACTTATTTTTTTAGTTCTCGACAAACACAACATCCTTGTTGGTATGTGGTGCTGAGGATCGAACCCGGGCCGCACGCATGCCAGGCGAGCGCGCTACCGCTGAGCCACACCCCAGCCCCCACCCAGCCCTTTTAGTTTTTTATTTTGAGACAGGGCCTCGCTAAGTAGTTTCGGGTCTCCCTATGTTGCTGAGGTTGACTTAGAACTTGCAGTTCTCCAGCCTTAGCCTCACAAGTTGCTGGGGTCATCTGTCCACCAACCGCATTCTCTGGTTACAGGTGCTGCTATCCCTGGAGCATGGGCTTTGGGCCCCCAACCTGCACTTCCACAACCCCAACCCTGAGATCCCCGCTCTGCAAGATGGGCGGCTCCAGGTGGTAGACCAGCCCCTGCCCATCCGCGGTGGCATCGTGGGCATAAACTCCTTTGGCTTTGGAGGCTCCAATGTACATGTCATTCTCCAACCCAACACGTCCCTGCCCCCAGTGCCCGCTCCCCATGCCCCTCTGCCCCGCCTGCTGCAGGCCAGTGGGCGCACCGCAGAGGCTGTGCAGAGCCTGCTGGATCAGGGCTGCCAGCATGGCCAGGACATGGCCTTTGTGAGCATGCTCAACAGCATCGCACCCACCCCTGTGGCCACCATGCCCTTCAGGGGCTATGCTGTGCTGGGTGTCGAGGATGGAGGCCGGGAAGTGCAGCAGGTCCCCCCTGGTCGGCGCCCACTCTGGTTCATCTGCACAGGTGAGACCCCCAGCCCCCATGGCCTGTTTCTGGAGGGGCAGTGGAGGATAGGGTACGTGGCTGTATCGGTGACCCTGTGTGCTCTCTGGACAGGGATGGGCGCACAGTGGTGCAGGATGGGGCTGAGCCTCATGCGCCTGGGCAGCTTCCGCGACTCCATCCTGCGCTCTGATGAGGCAGTGAAGCCATTTGGATTGAAGGTGTCAGACCTGCTCCTGAGCACAGATGAAAAGGTCTTTGATGACATCGTCCACGCCTTTGTGAGCCTCACTGCCATCCAGGTAGGGCATCTGTCCCATGCCGGGTCCCAGGGACGTTCCCAGATTGCAAAGCCTCCCGGAGAGCTGGAGTCACCAGGGTAGATGTCCCAGCCTGTCCAGCGATGGGCCCTTTGCTAGGCAGATCCTTTGGCCAGACTCAGTGTCTTATGGGTGAGGGGTACTTCTGGGGGTCCTGACCTCAGGCAGAGGATACCTAGGGAAGCTGCCATGCTGGGGCCTCCAGGACCAGATGTGCTGCTTACGAGGTGGTCTGGGAGAGTCAAGAGGTGGACATGGCCTGGTGGGGCCAGGGGCTGGTATGACATGGCCTGTCCCTATCCCAGATTGCTCTTGTGGACCTGCTGACCTCCATGGGCCTGAGACCGGACGGCATTGTGGGGCACTCCCTGGGGGAGGTGGCCTGTGGCTATGCCGATGGCTGCCTCTCTCAGGAGGAGGCTGTGCTCTCTGCCTACTGGAGAGGCCAGTGCATCAAGGAGGCCCACCTACCGGCGGGCTCTATGGCAGCTGTGGGTAGGTGTCAGCTGTGGGTCCCTCCTCCGTGGGCCCCAGGACCTTCCAGGGAGGGACTGCTCTCCTGGCACCTCTGAAAAAGGAGGCTGTCTTGCAGAGAGAGGGCCACATGCCCGGACACATCTGTGCAGCAGTCCCTGGGTGTCCCAGAGACCATGAGCCTGAGCTACACCCCCACAGGACGGCCTATGGGCTCCAGGTGGCCTCACCCTGGCCCCTCTGCCACCCAGCCTCCCTCCTACCTCATCCCCATAATGACGCCTTGGCCTGAGAGCAGGCGCAGCAGGGGTGCAGGGCGGGGTGCAGGTGCCTTGGGAAGGTGTGGCTGTCATTGTGCCCTCTCCTGCCATCTTGGAAACACCCAGCTGTGCCTGTGTGTCCTCTGGTCAGGCAGGGCTGGGGGTGGAGCTCTGGCCCCCACGCTGCCATCTTAGGTCAGCTGTGTTCACAGGCCTATCCTGGGAGGAGTCCAAACAGCGTTGCCCCGTTGGCATAGTGCCCGCCTGCCACAACTCTGAGGACACAGTGACCATCTCGGGACCTCAGGTAGGCCGTGCGGCTCTGGGACAGAACTCTGCCCCAGTGTCGTGTGTCCAGCAAGGTCTGGCCGGCCTGAGGATGAAGGCCTCTGGGTCCCACCAGCCTTTGAAGGGCATTTTCCAAAAGCCCCTCCCCACCACCTACTCGGAGCCCAAGCTGGGGAGACTGCATGGGAAGGTGCTGCCCAGGAGAGCTGGTCCAGGGGCCCCTGTGACCTGCGCCCTGACCACCCCAGGCCGCCGTGAGCGAGTTTGTGGAGCAGCTGAAGCAGGAGGGTGTGTTTGCCAAGGAGGTGCGGACGGGCGGCTTCGCGTTCCACTCCTACTACATGGAGGCCATCGCCCCGTCGCTGCTGCAGGCCCTCAAGCAGGTGTGTGCCGGGCTGTGGGGCCCAGGGGACGGTGCCCCGAGCTCCAGCTGACCTGGCTCTCGCGCAGGTGATCCGGGAGCCCAAGCCGCGCTCCACCCGCTGGCTCAGCACCTCCATCCCCGAGGCCCAGTGGCAGGGCAGCCTGGCCCGCACCTTCTCCCCCGAGTACAGCGTCAACAACCTGGTGAGCCCGGTGCTGTTCCAGGAGGCGCTGTGGCACGTGCCCGAGAACGCCGTGGTGCTGGAGATCGCACCCCACGCCCTGCTGCAGGTGCGCCCGGGGTCAGGCAGGGCTGGGGCTGGAGCCTTGGGCGGGTGGCACCACTGGCCCAGGGTCCCGGGGAGGGGGACGGGTACAGCCCAGAAGCCGCCCGGGAGTCCCAGCGTGTGCCCTGCCCCCAGGCTGTGCTGAAGCGGGGCCTGAAGCCCAGCTGCACCATCATCCCGCTGATGAAGAAGGGCCACGAGGACAACCTGCACTTCCTCCTCACCAACGTCGGCAAACTGCACCTGGCAGGGTGGGTCTCCCTCCCGTCCCACTCCCCAGGGACTGGGCACCGTGCTGTCTCCAGATGGCCCCTAGGCTGTGGCCTCTGCTGCCCCCAGCTGGGCCAGCTCGGGGCTTGGGGGTGGTTGGAAGTGGGCCTCGGGTCTGAGAGCCCCAGGAGCTGAGCCACTCACCCCTCCCTCCCCTCTTGCCAGCATCAATGTCAACCCTGATGCCCTGTTCCCGCCTGTGGACTTCCCGGTTCCCCGGGGAACCCCCCTCATCTCCCCCCTCATCCAGTGGGACCACAGCCAGACCTGGGATGTTCCGGCCACAGAGCACTTCCCCAATGGGTCCAGCTCCACCTCTGCCACCGTCTATACCATTGGTGAGCTGGGAGCCGGGAGCTGGGCTGGGCAGTGGGCTCCTTCCTGGCTGTGCCCGCAAGCACTGAGACTGGTGCCCCCTGCAGACACCAGTCCCGAGTCTCCTGACCACTACCTGCTGGACCACTGCATTGATGGCCGCGCCCTCTTCCCTGCCACTGGCTACTTGTGCCTGGTCTGGAGGACGCTGGCCCACCGCCTGGGCCTCTCTCTGGAGCAGGTACCAGTGGTGTTTGAGGATGTGACACTGCACCAGGCCACCATCCTGCCCCGGACAGGTGAGGATGCTCCAGGCAGGGTGCCCCCGGGGAGGAGGGCCCGGCCAGTCTGACCGGCTGCTCCACAGGGACGGTGCCCCTGGAGGTGCGGCTGCTGGAGGCGTCCCGTGCCTTTGAGATCTCTCAGAACGGCAGCCTGATAGTGAGCGGTGAGTGGGACCTGGCTGAGCCTAGGGCCTGGGGCTGAGGACTGGTTTGCTGCAGCCCTGGCTCAGGCCCACTGCTTCTCCTGTCCATAGGGAAGGTCTATCAGTGGGAGGACCCTGACCCCAAGCTCTTCGAGCACCCAGAAGACCTGGGCCCTGCTGAGGCCTTGCCCACCTCCTGCCTGACCCAGGCAGACATCTATAAGGAGCTGCGGCTGCATGGCTATGACTACGGCCCCCACTTCCAGGGCATCCTCGAGGCCACTCTTGAAGGTGGGCCAGGGCCTTCCAGTTATTCAGATGGCCACCAGGGAGCCCTCCTCTACAGCTGGGGCAGCAGAGCCGAGAGGGAATGGAGGGCCTGTGGGTTCAGGAGGTGGCCCCAAGGCAGGCAAGGCCCAGCCTGCTGACCACCTTCTCTGTACAGGCAATTCAGGCAAGCTGCTCTGGAAGGACAACTGGGTGACCTTCCTGGACACAGTACTACAGATGTCCATCTTGAGCTCAGGCCACCACAGCCTGCACCTGCCCACCCGCATCACTGCCGTGCACATTGACCCTGCCAGCCACCTGCAGAAAGTGTGTGCACTGCAGGGGGAGACCCAAGGTAGCACTGCTTACAGCCCTGCTTCACGCCCTGCGTGTCCCCAGCCTGCCCCGCCTGTCCTCACTGGCGTGTCCTGCAGGGGCTGACGTGGTGGTGGATCACCATCTGAAGACCATGGTCGCTGGCGGCGTCCATATCATGCAGCTGCACACCACGGCGGCCCCGCGGCGGCAGCACGAGCAGCTGACCCCCATCCTGGAGAAGTTCTGTTTCTCGCCCCACCTGGAAACAGGGTGCCTGTCCCAGAGAGCTGAGCTTCAGGAGGAGATGGAGCTGTGCAAAGGTGAGGCCCCCCGGGAGCCTCAAGTGCCTCTGGGGACAGGGAGGTGCCCTAGGAAGGCCTGCGACCAGGCATGTCCTGAGCCACTGGACTGGGGGCTGGGACACTGAGCCCACCCTCCTGGGCTGGCCACACAACCAGCCTGCCTACCGTCTGCCAGCCGGGTCTTGGTCCTCCCGTCTGTTCCTCCTGTGGCAGGTCAGGCAGTGGGCCTAAGGGGTGGCTGGAGGCTCAGAGGACACTGGCCTATCTTCTCTCCAGGACTGGCACAGGCACTACAGGCCAGGGCAGCCCAGCCAGGGCTGAAGACGTCGGTGCTTGGGCTGGACGGGGCCCGGGAGCCCCCACAGCAGGGACTGTCTCGGCTGCTGGCCGCTGCCTGCCATTTGCAGCTCAATGGCAACCTGCAGCAGGAGCTGGGCCAAGCACTGGTGCAGGAGAAGGCCCTGCTGCCCGAGGACGCCCTGCTCAGTGGCCTCCTCGACTCCATAGCACTGAAGGCCTGTGTGGACACAGCCCTGGAGAACTTGCCCAGCCTCAAGATGAAGGTGGTGGAGGTAGGCGCTCCTCTGGGTCCAGCGCTTGCTTCTACTTGAGACAGGGAAAATCCAACCCCACTAGCAGAACAGAAGGAAGTGGTGTTGGGAGAGGGGGACGCTCCTGGGGCAGGGCCCAATGCCAGTCTGCAAGTGGCTGATCCAGTTCATGCAGCTGCCCTGGGAGACTCTGGACTCCAAGCCAGGAGCACCACAGATGGGGCCTCTGGTAAAAGACAGGCAGCTGCCTGTGTGTGCCCCTGGCTGGCCCCTGGACATCCGTTTCCACTGTGGCCTGGGTACCCCTGCCCCTTGGTGGCTGATCTGAGAAGCTGCTCCCTCCCCCCAGGTGCTGGCTGGGGACGGACACCTGTACTCCCGCGTCCCGGCTCTGCTCAACACCCAGCCCATGCTGCAGCTGGATTACACGGCCACAGACCGCCAGGCGCAGGTGCTGGAGGCCGCCGCCCCCTTAATGCAGCAGTACGAGGTGGCACAGGGCAAGTGGGACCCCGCGGACCCTGCCCCTAGCAGCCTGGGCATGGCCGATCTGCTGGTGTGCAACTGTGCTGTGGCCTCCCTGGGGGACCCAGCCTTGGCCCTGGGCAACATGGCAGCTGCCCTCAAGGAGGGAGGCTTCTTGCTACTTCATGCCGTGCTCAGGGGGCATGCTCTTGGAGACATCCTGGCCTTACTCAGCTCAGAGCCACAGCACGGGCCCAGCCTCCTGAGCCAGGTACCTCTGCTGGGTGCTTGGGGTTGGGTAGGGTGGGGGCGGGCTGGGCAGGCTGGGCACTGACCTCCATGCACACTCCCAGGACGAGTGGGAGAGTCTCTTCTCCAAGACTGCACTGCACCTTGTCGGCCTCAAGAAGTCCTTCTACGGCTCTGTGCTCTTCCTGTGCCGCCGGCCTGCCCCACAGGACAGCCCCATCTTCCTGCCCGTGGAGGACACCAGCTTCCGATGGGTGGACTCCCTGAAGGTCGGGCTCTGGGACTGGACCCTGCCCTGCGTGGTGGGCACGGCTGGGACCTCTCCCGATGGCTCACTCTCTTGTTCTGCAGGGCCTTCTGGCAGAGTCCTCCTCCCAACCTGTGTGGCTGACCGCCACCGGCTGCCCCACCTCCGGCGTGGTGGGCCTGGTGAACTGTCTCCGCAAAGAGCCTGGTGGGCACCGGATCCGGTAGGAGAGGTGCCCTCTAGCTGTGCCCGCCCCATCCCACCCCGCCCCGCCCTCAGTTTTCTTCAACACCTCTGTCCACCCGTAGGTGCATCCTGCTGTCCAACCTCAGCAGCACGTCCCCCATCCCCAAGGTGGACCTTGGATCCACAGAACTGCAAAAGGTGCTGCAGGGTGACCTCGTGATGAACGTGTACCGCGATGGAGCCTGGGGTGCTTTCCGCCACTTCCCACTGGAGCAGGGTGAGCCCAGGCCACCGTGCCCCTGCCCCTGCCCCTGCCTGCTGGGCCAAGGAGGAGGGTGAGGACCCCTGCCGGCGAGGCCCTATCTCAGCCCTGCTTCTGGTGCCCAGACAAGCCCGAGGAGCAGACGAGGCACGCCTTTGTGAACGTCCTCACCCGGGGGGACCTCTCCTCCATCCGCTGGGTGTGCTCGCCCCTGAGGCACGTGCAGCCCAGCAGCCCTGGGATGCAGCTCTGCACCATCTACTACGCCTCACTCAACTTCCGAGACATCATGCTGGCCACGGGCAAGCTTTCCCCCGACGCCATCCCAGGTGCCCGGGAGCTGGCCTGGGGTGGGCTGGGCAGGACCGCCGGGGGCCCAAGTGGAGAGGGCTCCTCCCAGCCTTGCAGGCAGGGCAGGCCTGCTGACGGGAGTTGTGCTCTCTGTCCCCAGGGAAGTGGGCCAACCGGGACTGCATGCTGGGCATGGAATTCTCGGGCCGCGATGCCTGTGGCCAGCGTGTGATGGGGCTGGTGCCTGCCGAAGGCCTGGCCACCTCCATCCTGGTGTCCTCCCAATTCCTCTGGGATGTGCCTTCTGGCTGGTGAGTGGGCGGGCCGGGTGCTGGAGGCCCCACCACAGGGCGGGTGCCAGCTGGCCCCGCTGACCCTGCCCTGCACCCTCAGGACCCTGGAGGAGGCAGCCTCCGTGCCCGTCGTCTATTCCACGGCCTACTACGCCCTGGTGGTGCGCGGGCGCATGCAGCGCGGAGAGACGGTGCTCATCCACTCGGGCTCTGGCGGCGTGGGCCAGGCAGCCATCGCCATCGCGCTCAGCATGGGATGCCGCGTCTTCACCACCGTGGGTAAGGCACAGGCCTCTGCGAGCACCTGGCCCGCGAGGGCCTCCCAGCCAGGCTCACTGACGTCTCTGCCCAGGCTCGGCGGAGAAGCGGGCGTACCTCCAGGCCAGGTTCCCCCAGCTGGAGGACTCCAGCTTTGCCAACTCCCGGGACACGTCATTTGAACAGCACGTGCTGCGGCACACAGCTGGGAGAGGTGAGCAGCCGGCCTCGCCTCGCCTCCTTCCAGCCGGGCTGGGGAGGAGCCACCCGCCTCTTCGGGTGCCTGACCTGGCCCTTTGCAGGCGTCGACCTGGTCCTGAACTCCCTGGCGGAGGAGAAGCTGCAGGCCAGCGTGCGCTGCCTGGCTCAACATGGCCGCTTCCTGGAAATCGGCAAATTCGACCTTTCTAACAACCACCCTCTGGGTGAGGCTTGCAGCCGCGGGAGGGCAGTGGGTGGCGGGCTCCAGGAGACGGTATTCATGAAGAACATGTCCCCCCAGGCATGGCCATCTTTCTGAAGAACGTCACCTTCCACGGCATCCTGCTGGACGCGCTCTTTGAGGACGCGGGCGCCAGCTGGCAGGAAGTGGCAGGCCTCCTGCGGGCAGGCATCCGCGATGGCGTGGTGCAGCCCCTCAAGCGCACCGTGTTCTCCAAGGCCCACGTGGAGCAGGCCTTCCGCTATATGGCCCAGGGGAAGCACATTGGCAAGGTCCTCGTGCAGGTAAGGGCAGCGCCCCGCCCAGCCCCCAGCTCAGGCCTCTGGAGGCCTCTGAGCAACTGCCGCTTGGGCCTCAGGTGCACGAGGAGGACCAGGAGCCTGTGCTTCAGCGGCCACAGCCCACCCTGATGGCAGCCGTCTCCAAGACCTTCTGCCCGGCCCACAAGAGCTACGTCATCGCAGGGGGCCTGGGTGGCTTTGGCCTTGAGCTGGCGCAGTGGCTGGTGACGCGGGGTGCCCGGAAGCTTGTGCTGACCTCGCGCTCTGGGATCCGCACAGGTGAGAAGCCAGCCCCGGCTGGGCCACACACCATCCCTCCATCCCTCCATCCCTCCGCGGCCCCGGGGAGGCACCCTGGAAGGGGTTGGGTGTCTCCCCTTCTACCGCACTCGGCCCGTGTCCCACAGGCTTCCAGGCCAAGCGGGTCAGTGAGTGGAGGCGCCAGGGCATCCAGGTGCTGGTGTCCTCCAGCGATGCCAGCTCACTGGAGGGGGCCCGGGCCCTTGTCACGGAGGCTGCACAGCTGGGGCCCATCGGAGGTGTCTTCAACCTGGCCATGGTGAGGAGAGGTGCTGGGCAGCCACAGGGCTGGGGGCCGGCCCTCGAGCAGCAATAGGTGCTGAGGGCATCTCCCCCCAGGTCTTGAGGGACGCCATGCTGGAGAACCAGACCCCAGGGCTCTTCCAGGACGTCAGCAAACCCAAGTACAGCGGCACCCTGAACCTGGACAGGTGCGCTGGCCTCCTCTCTTCTGTCCTGGGGGAGGCCGGGTGGGGATCCTGGTGATGGCTGGCAGAGAGTGACGGGAGTGTCCGCAGGGTGACCCGGGAAGCCTGCCCTGAGCTGGACTACTTCGTGGCCTTCTCTTCGGTGAGCTGTGGCCGCGGCAACGCTGGCCAGAGCAACTACGGCTTCGCCAACTCCACCATGGAGCGCATCTGTGAGCAGCGCCGTCACGAGGGCCTCCCAGGTGCGCCGATGCCCGCAGCCTGACCCGCAGCCCTGCCCCCACCGCCCTGCCCAGCCCCTGCCCTCAGCCCTCACCCACCCACCCCTACCCACAGGCCTCGCCGTGCAGTGGGGTGCCATTGGAGATGTGGGCATTGTCCTGGAGGCCATGGGCACCAATGACACCGTCGTCGGCGGCACACTGCCCCAGCGCATCACCTCCTGCATGGAGGTGCTGGACCTCTTCCTGAGCCAGCCACACGCCGTCCTGAGCAGCTTTGTGCTGGCTGAGAAGAAGGCCCTGGCCCGCGGCAGTGCCAAGGGCCAGCAGGACTTGGTGGACGCCGTGGCCCACATTCTGGGTGAGCACTGCCAGCAGAAACCCCGCTCTGCTGCGCCTGCGTCACCGAGGGTCGGGCACGGCAGTCTGCAGAGCCAGGGGCAGAGTTAGCTGGAGCTGCTGTGGCCCTGTGGCAGGGGCAGGGAGCCACACAGAGCCAGGTGCAAGCCTCTGCACCCCAGGCCGCAGCCCACTCCAACTGGCCCCTGGGTCCCTCCCTCCACAGGCATTCGAGATCTGGCTGGGATCAACCTGGACAGCTCCCTGGCAGACCTGGGGCTGGACTCGCTCATGGGCGTGGAGGTGCGGCAGACCCTGGAGCGGGAGCACGACCTGGTGCTCTCCATGCGTGAGGTGCAGCAGCTCACGCTGCGGAAGCTACAGGAGCTGTCCTCCCAGACCCACCAGTCCTCTGGTGCGTACAGGGGGAGGGTCCTCATCCACCAGAGCTGCACGGGAGTAATGCAGCTCTCTTCCTGAGGGCACTGTGTGCATGGGAGCCCTGTGCCAGGCCAGGCTGGCATCTGCCTCTGTCTCTGCAGAAGTGGCATCCTCCAAATCCAAGGTGGTCAGCCCAGCCCGGCAGCAGGCCCAGCTGAACATGAGCACTCTCCTGGTGAACCCCGAGGGCCCCACCTTAACTCGGCTCAACTCGGTGCAGAGCTCCGAGCGGCCCCTGTTCTTGGTGCACCCCATAGAGGGCTCCACCACTGTGTTCCACAGCCTGGCCGCTAAGCTCAGCGTGCCCACCTATGGCCTGCAGTGTACCCGAGGTAAGCCCCCCAGACCTCCCGTGGACAGGCCAAGCAGTGCTCACTGCTGTGACCCTTGGCTGCTCTGCCCCTGCTGAGTGCTTGCTGCTGCCTTCCAGCTGCTCCACTGGACAGCATCCAGAGTCTAGCTGCCTACTACATCGACTGCATCAAGCAGGTGCAGCCCGAGGGGCCCTACCGGGTGGCCGGCTACTCCTATGGGGCCTGTGTGGCCTTCGAGATGTGCTCCCAACTGCAGGCCCAGCAGGGCCCAGCCCACCACAGCCTCTTCCTGTTTGACGGCTCACATGCTTACGTGGTGGCCTACACCCAGGTGAGAGCCAGGCCAGCCAGGCTGGCTGCCCCACCCAGAGCCCTGGCTTCACACGGGCCAACTCCCTGCCGAGTCCTGGACACTGCAGAGTGCCCACTGCAGCAGCCCCTCCTGCCCCACAGAGCTATCGAGCAAAGATGACCCCTGGCTGCGAGGCGGAGGCGGAGGCCGAGGCCATGTGCTTCTTCGTGCAGCAGTTCACTGATGCTGAGCACAGCAAGGTGGGCGGAACCCAGAGCAGGGGGAGGAGCATGCTAAGGGGCGGGGCCCAGAGCAAGGGGTGGAGCAGGCAAGGGGCGGGGCCCAGGGCTGGGGGAGGAGCCTGTTAGGGGCGGGGCCCAGGGCTGGGGGAGGAGCCTGTTAGGGGCGGGGCCCAGGGCTGGGGGAGGAGCTTGGCAAGGGATGGGGCCCAGGGCAGGGGAGGAGCACTGCAAGGTGGACAGTGGGTTGAGGTGTGGGGCCGTGATGGGGGCCTCAGAGCCACTGGTCCAGGCACACTCAGAGCCGCTTCCCTCAGGTGCTGGAGGCCTTGCTGCCACTGAAGGGCCTGGAGGAGCGCGTGGCTGCCGCCGTGGACCTCATCACCAGGAGCCACCAGGGCCTGGACCGCCAGGAACTGAGCTTCGCAGCCCTGTCCTTCTACCACAAGCTCCGCGCCGCCGAGAAGTACACGCCCAAGGCCAAGTACCACGGCAACGTGACCCTGCTGCGGGCCAAGACGGGCGGCGCCTACGGGGAGGACCTGGGCTCCGATTACAACCTCTCCCAGGTGAGCGGGGACCAGTGGTGAGTGGTGGGGAGTGGTGGGGCCGGGCAGCCGCTTGACAGCCGCCACCCCCAGGTGTGTGACGGGAAGGTGTCGGTGCACGTCATCGAGGGCGACCACCGCACGCTGCTAGAGGGCAGCGGGCTGGAGTCCATCATCAGCATCATCCACAGCTCCCTGGCCGAGCCACGCGTGAGTGTGCGGGAGGGCTAGGTCCTGCCCCTGTCCTCGCCCTCACCGAGACCACCACACCCCCACCACACCTGGTGCACGGGGGCTGCTGGAGAGGGTCCTGCTGGTGGGACCCCGCCTGTGGCCCAGCACCACCGCCTCCCCTAGCGGCTGCTAGGAGTAGGACCATCACACATGCCCCACCTGCCCACCCCCTCCAGGGTGGGCCAGGGGACCCAGAGCCGCTGACTCGGAGACACCTGATCTGTGAAGAGCCAGCGGGCCGGCAGGAGCCGGGCTGAGCCTTTTTGTATCTGTGTGGGGTTCGCCACGCTGGTTGGATAGTTGTTTCTCCATTTAAATTCTCATATTTATTGTATTGCTGGGAAGGACCCCTGAGGGCTCACCCCAACTCTGAATATGGCAGGAGCCACCTTGGGCAAACTTCCAGGAAGCACCAGACCTGCTCTGTGTCTCCCATGCACAGGGGTGGCTGCCCAGACCCACGGGCTGGAGCCCCCATGCCAGTCCCTGCTCCTTCTGCCCACCGCAGGGGAGGGCGGGACCCCCAGGGAACCAGGTCTCCAGCAGGTGCAGTAGCCTGTGGCCCCTGGGTCCCCAGCACCCCCGGCTGCACCCATGATGCAGGGCCTACCTCATGGCCCTGCGGACCGCGCCGGGCACCAGCTCTTCACTTTCCAAGAAATGACTCGGATGGCTGCTTGGGTTTTGAAATTGTAACTGTCAGCGTACGGGACCATGTCTGGATTTTGTTCCATTTTTACACCAACTTGGTAAATGCTGCTCTTGACCTCCTGTTACCCAAGCCTCCCCACAATTAAACCGCACATGAACGCTGACCTGGTCAGATCTCTCTCCTCCCTGACCTGTGCCGCAGCTCAACCCCATCCTGCTGGCAGTCCGCCAGCACAGTCCACACAGGACCTGCAGCCATCGGGGGAAGCAGGAGTGGGTGGGGTGCAGCCGGGCTCTGCCCGAGGAGCGGAGCCCTGCAGGTGCCTTTCCAGGACCAGGCTCGCTCAGCTGCCTGTGATAGGGAGTCTGCCTGGGCTGGACCCACCTACAGAGCATCTTCGGCAACACCCAGGCCACACTTACCTGAGCTGATGCACTGAACACACACAGTAGGGCGGCACTGAGTGCACACCGTAGGGCAAAGCAGTCTTGGCTGGGCGGGAGTGGGTGGGGAGGCCCCAGAGCCTGGGCAGTGTGCAGGGAAAGCCATGCCAGCCCTGCAGGTGTGGATGTGGGTGGAGGCAGCCAGGGCCAGGTCCTTGGCGCTGAGATGCAGGTGACCACAGAGAGAGCAACCAGTCAGCAGTGCCGGCCAGCCTCTTGCCCTATGATGCGACACGTCTGCCCAAAGCAAGGGGGGAGGTGTGTCTGGCCTTAGTCTCAGAGGTCCAGCCCATGGGGGCCAGCTCGGCCACTTCTGGAAGAGCTGCTTGACCAAGCAGAGGGAACTCCAGCAGCAAGACACTGGCTCCCAGAAGCACAGCCCTAAGGGACCAGCTCCCCAAGCCAGGGCCCTCCTGGAGTTCCACCACTGCCCGGGTCCAGCAGTGCACCCTTGGTGCACTGACCCACTGGCAGAGCCTCATGACCCAGCCACCTCCCAGGGCCTCTCAAGCTCGGCTGCATGGGGACAGGTCTTCAATATGGGAGCCTCGAGACTCCAGGCCCAGCTGCAAAGACGGAATGTGGCTCAGAGGAAGAGCACCCCTGGGTTCTACCCCATCCCTCGCAGGGGTATGGAAGAGGAGAAAGTCTTGCCAGATGCAGCCCCCCCAATCTTAGACTTCCCAGCTTTCAGAATCAAGAGTCTAATAAACCTCTATTGCTTATAATGTACCCAGTCTCTGGTATTCTGTTAGAGCAGTAGAAAGTGGACCAAGACAGCTCTCTCCATGGCCATCAGAGGACTTACAGACAGTAACATTTTTTTTTAAATCAAAGGTTTAAAGAAACTGGAACATTTCACTCACCACACTGTAATGCAGAGATGCCAGCTCTCACCAAGACATACTCCGCACAGAGGAGTCTGCATGCAGGGGAAAGGATGGGAGAGAATCTGACTCTCAAACTCAGTGAGTTCAGGCTCAGTGAGATGAAATGGGACCAAGAGCAAAGGGAATTCGGAGAGTGATCTCTGATTACATTACAATGAGAATATCAGTAAATAGAAACTATCAAAACCACCAAAAATTGTGGAGTAAAAATTACAGTAATTGAAATGAAAAAATTACTAGTGGGGTTCAACCACAGATTTGAACAGGCAAAAGAAAGGATATATCTGAAGATCAGGAGGTTCAGAGCATTCATCCCGAGGAACAGAAAAGAAAAATATATGGGGCTGGGGATGTGGCTCAAGTGGTAGCGCGCTCCCCTGGCATGCATGCGGCCCGGGTTCGATCCTCAGCACCACATACCAACAAAGATGTTGTGTCCGCCGAGAACTAAAAAATAAATATTAAATTCTCTCTCAAAAAAAAAAAATATATATATATAATATATATGGACACCATCAAACAGACCAGCATATGCCTCAGAGAAAGCACGAGTACTTGAAGTTATTTTTGAAATATAATATTAAGCATTTATTAATAATAAACATTCAAAAATAACGACTGAAAACCTCCTAACTCCAATGAAAGACGTGATTGTGTCTGTCCAAGAAGATCCTAGAGTGGGAACCAAAAGACAAGAGTTTTGAAAGTACCAAGCAAGAGAAGTGAGTTACTGTGTACAGGGACCCTTGATGTGATTTGGAGCTGATTTCTCCTCAGAAGCAAGACCAGAGAGCAGGGGGGTGACACAGTGAAGTGTACCCAGCCCCGGATCTTTCCAGTGAAGGAGGAGGCCTCCAGACAGGTGCAGCTGGAGGAGGGCAGCGCCCACAGCCCTGTCTTCCCACAAGGAGGACCTCAGGGTCCCGCTGGAATGGGAGGACAGGGGACTGCACAGCTAAGTGCCACAGCCAGTGCCGCCAGGTGGTGGTGCCCACCTGTGATGCAGCCACTTCAGAGGCTGAGGCCAGAAGGGGGTGTCGCGCCGCCCTGCCCCAAAACAAAACCATCAACAGGGCCGGGCTGAGGCTCGGTGGTGGAACACCGGGGTCCGGTCCCTAGTACCAGAAAAAACCATCCAGGTTAACATCAAGGTGTGCCCTGGGGTCAGCGTGAAGGCCAGATGTCTATTGGGGAGCAGCATTTTCATATTCTCAAAATTGTTAGTAGTACTTCAGCTGGGTGGTTAGTAAGATGTGAACTATCATCCCCAAGATGACCACAAAGAACTCAAGTAAAAATATAATACAGAAATGGAAAGAAGGGAGAAAAGATTGTAAAAATCAAGTATATAAAAAGGGCCATTGTGAAATATTTAGAAACAAAATATCTATGAGACCTGCAGGAAACAAATAGCTTAGTATAAGAAGTCACTCTTTCCTCACCAATACTTACTCTAAATGGAAGCCCATTAAACTCTCATTAAAAATCAGAGGTCAGGGGCTGGGGCTCAGCGGCAGAGCGCTTGTCTAGCACATGCAAGGCCCTGGGTTCGATCCTCAGCACCACATATAAATGAGTAAAATAAAGGTTTATCAACAAATTAAAAAATAAATAAAAGATATTGTGTCTAGCTACAATTAAAAAAAAAGAATCAGAGGTCAATGTCATGGATTTTAAAAGGAGCCACCTCTATGCTATCTACCAAAGGGTGACTTTAGATATAGACACAATAAGGTAGGAGAAGAGTGGGAAATTACATTCCGTAAAAACCACGGCCCAAGCCCGGCGCAGTGGCCACGCCTGTAATCCCAGTGGCTCTGGAGGCTGAGGCAGGAGGATAGAAAGTTCAAAACCTCAGGGGCACGAAGCAACTCAGTGAGACCTGTTTCTAAATAAAATACAGAATAGGGCTGGGGTGTGGCTCAGGGGTTGAGTGCCCCTGAGTTCGATCCCCAGTGACCCGGGCTGGGGTGCAGTTCCGGCAGAGAGCTGCCCGGCCTGCAGGAAGCTGGGTGGATGCCTCACGCACCCACGTAGACACAGGCAGGAACAGAAAGGGCTGGGCTGGCGCCACGTCACTTGCCAGGCAAAATCGACGCTAAGTCAAAACAGTTGGCAAGAGATGGACAGGCTTCATAGACTGGTGAGTGCTCCCATTCATCTAGACGATAGCCATTACACACACCTAGGAACAGGTCCCCCAGAGTGACAGTCTGGGACATTAATACTGCGCGTGTGTTTTTCAGTGCTGGGGTTTAAGCCCCAGGCCTCGTGTGTGCTGGACCAGCACTGTGCTTCGTCCCCAGCCATTTTACTTTTTTCTTTTTTCAGGGGGGAGGGGGGCACTGGGAATTAACCCAGGGCCACTCAACCATTGAGCCACATCACCAGCACTTTTTATATCCTATTTAGGGACAGGGTCTAGCCTAGTTGCTTAGGGTCTCTCTAAGTTGCTGAGGCTGGCTCTGAATTTGTGATCCTTCTACCTTAGCCTCCCGAGCCACTAGGATTACCAGTGTGTGCCATTGTGCTTGGCCCTTTTTACTTTTTATTTATTTTTTATATTTTTAGTTATAAATGGACACAATACCCTCAATTTATTTTCTTTTTAATTTTTTTTTTTTTTACGTCGAGCTGAGGATTGAACCCAGGGCCTCATATGTGCTAGACAAGCGCTCTACCGCTGAGCCACAACCACAGCGCCCTTTACTTTTTATTTTGAGGTAGGTACTAAGCTGCTGAGGCTGGCCTTGAACTTGCCAACCTCCCACCTCAGCCTCCCGAGTCACAGAGATTACTTACAGGTATGAGCCATCACACCCAGCACAAAGTGTCTTTTCCAATTACGGTGAAACTAGAAATCCATAAAAGAAAGAAAACTGGAAAATTCACAAATACGTGGTAATTGAAAAGCACTCTCAAACAACCAATGAGTCAAAGAAGAAAATCAGAAAATACCTTAAAATGAGTGGAATATCAATCATAGAGTGGGATGTGGCTCAGTGGCAGAGCACTTGCCTAGTGTGCACAAAGCCCTGGGTTTGACCCCAATATAGTGCGCGTATACACACACACACACACACACACACACACCCTACATATAAAAGGCACAGTGACGGCCACCTGTAATCCCAGTCACTCAGGAGGCTGAGGCAGTAGGATCACAAGTTCAAGGCCAGCCTCAGCAACTTAGCAAGATCCTGAATAAGAAATAAAGGGGGCTTGGGATGCAGCTCAATGGTGGAGCATCCCCAGGTTCAATTCCCAGTATGAAGAAGGAAGAAAAAGAAACAATCTTCTCGCCCCCCGCAGAAAGTCGAAGAGATGGGAATACTTCCAGCTAATTCTACCCAGACCTGATACTCAACCAGACAACGATGCCAGGAAGAAAGATCCAGACCAACCCCTGCCACGCTGGGCTCACCACCTTAAAGGAGCACGCAGCAGGACTCTGGTGTCGGTCACTGGACAGCAAGACTAACAGCATAAAGGGAAAGCCACACCGTGGGGATGGCAACAGCCTTTGTAATAACCCCTCCCTCCCGCAGCAAAACCGTCACTAGGAGGGCACGGGAAGGGGCCTCGTCACTGTGGTGGGGCCCACGTGGGAGGAGCCGCCGCTGACATCATGCTCAGTAAGGAAGGAGGAGAGTCCCCTGAGGACCAGGTGAGGAAGCTCTTGGGCCCGTTATTAGGCAAGAAGAAAGAGCGGATCCTCCCTGGAGGGCGTGGTCTCACAGGAAGAAGTCTAGCAAGTCCACCAAGACCCTATGGCTTCAACAAAGTACCAGCCCACAGAACCAGAACACCAAATCCAGTGTCTGTCTACA